TTCCAATAAAAAATCAAAACTTCCATTTTAACATGTCATCGTGGCAGAATGCAATATTATGACCCAATTAAATATCAGACCACAAAATAGCAAAACAACAAAATAGAAGAACCTTAGTATTGGACTATTGGTCGAAGAAGAAGAAAGAGTTGAACTTACACTCTCACCCATCAAAAAGAAAAAGCTATACGAGTATATATCATTCTAGAATAATTCAACATGCTAATCAATTTAAGAAATTGATATTTCGCAAAAAACAATATTGATAATCGATGAGGATTAAGAGGCCATAAAATAAGGCTATCAAACACCCAGGAAATGTATAAATTGAGGGGTCAACTTTTATTGATGTTCTACCCATGGATATGGGAGCTGTATTCTAATTTGGCAGTACGGGGATGCTGTACAGAAGTAGAGAAGAAGTGGCCGATGAGGAGATGCGGCCAAATTTATCGTGAAATAATATGGCTAAATTTTAATTAAATCAATTTTACCACCCTCCAGTCCCTCCTCCCACCTAAACTACTTTACCACCCCACGTAAAGTATTTTACATGGTACAGTGCAAAATATTTTAAAATGATACCCTATCGTTTACATTAAATAATCATACCAAACAGTGTATTTTGTTTGCATCCCTACACTTTACATGTAAAATGATCACTTTGCACTATAACAAGCACCCCCTTAGTTTAATAAATAGTGTCAAGTGATAATAAAAAGGAATAGAGCGTTGACAAACTATTCGGTGTTAATGTCGATTGTCGAATAATGGCAAGTGCAACCATTTGATACCACCGTTGTCACTGACAGTTACTAATGCTCGTTGTCTTCGTTGACTATGGCCTATGGGCTATGGGTACTAGTATCCAACTCTGTTAGGAGTGTTCAGTAAAAAAGTAAAAAAGTAATAGTAAATGGTAGGCCTGGGACCGGTTCGGTTCCTAGGTGAAATATGTGGAACCGTTTGAAAATATGAAATTTTACTAACGGTTCGGTTCTTATAAATTATTTTGTAGAACCGATAATGAACCGAACCGTTCTTAACGGTTCGGTTCTTGTCATTTAACGGTTCCTAGTATTTAAAAAAAAACTTACAAATCACGGTTAAATTTGTGTCAAAAATACATTCAACGCTTGAAATTACAATACAAATATGTTGAATTTCATTTCAAACCTCAAAAGTTGAGTTTAAAAGATAAATACATAACAAACTGCAAATTTTAGAAAACAAAAACAAAACAAGATATTCGGTAAAGAAGCCCAATAAAACCAGTTAAATGAAAAATAATTTCAAATAGTTAAATAACTAAACTAAAATAGTGAATGTAATATGAAAATAAATAAGTAAATATACATTAAAATACATATACTAATAAGAAATATATATAATTTTAATTATTATATATAACGGTTCTTTAACGGTTCCACGTACATATTTTTTACAGGAACCGAGAACCGAACCGTTAATAAAAAGTAGGAACCGAACCATTAACAAATAACTAATAAATTTTGGAACCGAACCGAACCGGGTCATAACGGTTCGGTCCGGTTCGGTTCTCCGGTTCTTGGTTCCAAAGTCCCAGCCCTAGTAAATGGGCAATTACACATTTACACCCTTGAAATTTTAGCAATTCTACAATCAAACTATTGAATGCGTCAGAAGATCTTGCAAATACATCGCTCAATCTATTGAAATTAGTGCTAGACTCGGGCCGGGCGGCCCGGCCCGGTTACTGTTTGGCCCGGCCCGGGGCTCGGTGGGTCCACCGGTTCGGTTCGGCCTGGCCCGGCTGCTAGGCGGTTCGGGCCCGGGCCCAGGTTTTGGTGAACCGGCCCGGCCGGTTCGGGCCCGGTCCGGGCCGGATTTTAATTTTTTTTTTTTTGAAATTTTTTTAAGTTTTAGGTTGGATTAGGTATTTTGGGCCATTTGAAGTGGTTTGGAATGGTTTGGGGTTGAGAGGGAGGGGTAGGGGATTAAATAGGAGAACAAAAAAAAATTAAGTGGGCCGGTTTGGCCCGGCCCGGCCCGGTTTGGCCCGGAACCGGGACCGGAACCGGCCACCGGCGGTTCGGGCTCGGGCCTCCCTTTCCTGGCCCGAGGCCGGGCCGGGCCCAGGCCCGAACCGGGCCCGAACCGGCCCGAGTCCAGCACTAATTGAAATAAAGCGACCAGTTTACATATGAGTGCCGGTAACTTCTCACGAAAAATATACCGTTTATCGACATGAATAAGTAAACAAGAATCCAAATGCTTTATTCCAATGGGTATTTGCCCCCCTTTTAGAGAAAGTAACGATACTCTGATTAGGGTTGAACAAAACAAAAATGATCTTTGTACCTACTCTTATACCCACATTTATACCCACCTATTTTTGTGAAATGTTTTTTTGTCTGTGAACTCCGGCTCACAGACAATATTTTGCACAAACAAAATATTGTCTATGAACCAGGTTCACAGACAAAAAAACCCGCCACAAACATGGTGGGTATAAGGTGAGTATAAGAGTGGGTACATCAAGCATTGTTGTGAACAAAATGTCAATAAAACGAAATTAACCTATGGAAATTGAATCATGATTTTAATCAAAATTGATCAAATGTTTTGGCTGAAGTTACTGGATGACCATTTTAGCTACTTTTACTTATAATTTTTTCTTTATTTTTTTAATGAAATATATTTTTTTTTCCCTAAATCAGCATAATGAGTCGAAGCAGCCATTTCAGCCAGAACTTCATAAATTTCAGCAGAATCAGCCAAATTAGCCGATTTTCATGTTACCAAACGGGCTCCGGAGGCGGCTCTGCGGGCATTTAGCCCAGGCAACTGCCTGGGCTCTCTCATGCCAAGAGGGCCTCACATTAAGTACGATAGTATATAGTACTCCGTATGAAGTAGTAATTTTCTAGAGACTTGTCCACGGCTCCCTGCATCCGACGAATGGAAACCTGCAAATCGACAAGAAGCAAACCCATCAATTGCCAGCAACCGGCTTCTGGGTTCCCATCCCAACGACGACCAATAGACTTGGGTGAATGAGTCTTTGAGACTCTGACTTCTTTCCGAGTCTCCTTTTCTTAATACTCTGTATCTTATTATTCCTTCTCGGAGTTTCTAACTTTATCTCGTTCAATGTTTATCTATTTATCTTTATAAATTAAGCATTTAGTAAAAAAATAGTGAAATACAGATAAAGTTCTAGCCAACTAGCCTCAAGCTATAAGGTAGACGAAAACAGACAAGCAGTAAATGCAATTTGTTTTTACTATTTGATATTTTGAGGTAAATTCCTTAAAATGTTAAATACAAGTGAATGAGTGATTGAACTGTTGCAGTGAACTCTTGAAGGACTAATGCAAAATGCTTAATAACTTAAACATATGATTCATTATTATAACTAAAACTATTGGGTTAATATTGCTATATTGATATTGTATATTAGTATGTCTAAGATTATAAATACATGAAATAATTATTTTGATGGTATTGTTACTAGTAAAGTACTAATAGTATTTTGGTTTGATTTGTTAGTGTATTTAGAAGTTTTAGGTTTTAGGCAAGAATAATAGGCTAATGGGGTAATACAAGTAGCTTGCAGTGTATTTTTACATGCATGTACATTTAAAAACTTAAGGAAAACTGTCAAATATGTTCTCGAACTTTCATAAAAAGGTCAAATAAGTCCTTATATAGGAGGCTCTGTTCGGCCGTCGGGATTTGGGGCGGTTCCCGGTGAAATTTTTTGATGAAAATTTCTGAGCATCTTATTCATCAAGTCTAGTTTACGCATACCAAAATTCAGATAAAATTTCAATCGGGAACGCATTCAAATTAATTCTTGAAGATAACTGCGCATTTAACTGCACAGTTATCTTCAATAATTAATTTGAATGCTTTCCCTATTGAAGTTTTAGCTGAAATTTGGTATGAGTAAATTAGACTTGATGAATAAGAAGCTCAAAATTTTTCATCAAAAATTTTCACCGGGAACCATCCCAAATCGCGATGGCCGGACAGAGCCTCCTATATAAGGACTTATTTGACCTTTTTTTAAAGTTCTAGGACCTATTTGACAATTTTCCCAAAAACTTATTTTTTAAATATTAAAAACATTATATCATGCCCTTTGAATATGCTCTTTTTATGTGGTGTTTTTTATTCAATTATTCCATTTTTATATGCATAGTAAATTTTGTCTAGGGCCTCCGAAACGGTTATGACGCCCCTGACGGGCTCTTAGTGTGAGATTTAAGCATCGAAAATCAATTGAAGTGATCCAAAGGAATTAAAATCCACGGTCAAAATCGATCGAATCTGCTCGAAAATAACCAAATACGATCACATTTGGTTAGAGGAATAAGGAATTTGGTATGGGTTTTGGACGGGTTTAATGCGCCAAACCCCCCTGTGATTTGGAAATTCGGCGCATTAGCCCCTGTGATTTAAAAAATGCGTCAAACTCCTCTGTGTTTTAATTAATCATGCGCCAAATCCCTTATGTGAACAAATTCAATTGTCAAATAAAAGAAAAATGATTAACATTTTTGTATGATTCAGAGATTTTGACATATTTATTTGCATATTCAATCAAAATATTAGGAAAAATGATTTTCAAAACGTTAAATTTATTCATAAAGGGGGTTCTGTGCATGATTAATTAAAACACAAGGGGGTTTGACACATTTTTTAAATCACAAGGGGCTAATGCGCCGAATTTCCAAATCACAGGGGGGTTTGGTGCATTAAACCCGGTTTTGGACTTAACTTTTTCAAATAGAATCAACCTAAAGCGAATTGATCAAATACAAAATGGACAAAAGAGTGTTTTTACTTGCTGCACGTTTACTTTGTTTTTAGTTAATTTACCTGGTAAAAGTTATTTTGTTGAGGACGCTTAATAATCCTGTCGCCTTAAACGATCGCTTCTTCTCTCCCAAAAATATGCGATTCCAGAAATGGGCAGCTCTGCAGCACCATGGAAGCACCATCTTCTCAACTCTCTGAACTCTAATTCTCATCTCAAGCACTCCATCTACCTTCAACTTGTAAATACACACACAACGATGCATTACATTTCCCTAGTTCTCTGTTTTTTTAAAAAAATAATTTCTACTGTTCTCTCTCAGGCAACAGTTGCACCAAATGGCAGGCCATCGAATCGCACCGTCGTCTTCAGGCCTGTCTCGCAGAAACTCCATAAATGATTCATACGATAGTATTTCCTTAATTTGTTGCACTCACACTGCTCAATTTTTAGCTTGGTATTGACTTTGCTGGGGCATTTTCTTTCAGAGGCTTTGCAGATAATAGTGATAAGATACAAATCAACACTGATTCCAGATCTCGGAAGGTTCTCGAAACACTCTTCTAGCATTTTTGTGCTTTGATTGATGAAGTATTGGCATGAATCTTTTCTTAAAATTGAATTGGTGCAGATCGAAGATATAAAGTACTGCCCATTTGCGGAGGTACCTAAGATCATAAATTTTCTTTCAGAGATGTTTGGTATGAAAATTTGTTCTTTTGTTTGTGTTTAAGTTTTTTTTGAGAGTAGTTTGTGTTTGAGTTTTGATTGAAAGGTTGAGGATGTTTTCTTTTATACTGTTTTCAGTCCCAGACCAGATCGGACCGGACCAGATCAGACCAGACTTCCGTAGTTATAAAATACACAGAGACTAGACGTTTACCAGACTAGTTCAGACCAGACCAGACCAGCAAATTTCAGTCCAAAAGAAAACATCCCAAGACTGGAGAGGAATTTATTTAGACAATTGATCGAACTACCTTATCTCTAATTGTAAACCAGCATGGTAGTAATTTGCTTATCTGGAAACATTCTTCTATACATTATTTACACTGCTTTTGGTTGCAATAAACAATGTGCTAAGCTGTGATGTTTCAGATATGCTGGTATTTTACTGATTCATGGGAGCAATATCGAATAAATGGAAGAATTCACATCATTGATTCAACAAACCCCAATCCAGTTAAGCTTCAGGTGATGCGGGAAAACATGACATATTCACATTTAGCACCACTTAGCAATTCCTTTTTATCAAACACTAAACGTTTGATTTCACACTTTAAAATAGTAAGTCTGACAGCTGAATGGGCTTGTCAAAGATGGCCGCTTTAGCTTCATTTTGCTGATAAAATACGGAGTATATTTTTAAAATAACTGTTCGATAATCCAACCAACTCAGGTGTTATTTTTAGCAGTTCTAATAGATTCAACCAATTCAGTGCTGCCAAACAGGCTTTGAGTTTGTGTTGCCTGAATGAATTACTTTAGATGCTTTGTTTGTGGAAGACTGGAAGCTAGATCAATACAATTTTATGCGTATCTCGAAAAATCAATGAAACAAACGTCCTCAAATTGAGATGAACTCTTTTCCTCCAACTTCATTTAAAATCAATGAATTCCTTTTCACTGATTTCAATTGGTGTTTTGGGATGGGTATGCAGCAAAGAGAGAGAGCATGGTTTGATAGCTCAATTAGATCAAGACTTCAGTATTTGGGGCCCTCCCCTGCTGCAATTCCTTCTTTGAAGGATACATCATTTCAGGAGCCTTCATTGGATCCTTTGGCTGGTCCGGTAGATGCATTTTGCCTTCTAGTTTTGGATCCCGAGCAGGTGAAGTCTGTCTGTTTTTTGTATACTTATCTACTCATCAAGCCGCGATGATAATTACCATTATTAGTTGAAGTTAAGACTAGTATTTGCTCACAGGTTGATTTCTTGAATTTGAGGAGTAACAAAAGGATCACATTTGCCTCCAGATGCAGCAGCATCAATGGAGAGAAAATTTGGACGTCTACTGAGATCAACCCGTGATTTCTATGTGATTGAAATCTTACCAATTTGAAAATTTGGACATGGACCGTTCAATGTTGAACGCAAGCATTATACGTCACCATTATAATGGACACAATCAATCTCTTTATAGTTAGCCGTCAGTAATGTGGATGGAGGTGTATTATAAACTGAATTCAGTAGTCCGTTGTATTTTTGTGTTTGAAATGCTTTCATATATTGAATTGGAACTCTTCAACAGAATAAATGTTTGTATTTTCGTTTCAGTCCCCCAATGAATCTAAGTAGTTGGGTTCGACAACATAACAAGGATTATTAATCAATTTTCTGTATCTTTTTATATGGTTTATCTTGTCATTTCAAAAATAAAAAAATTATCTCCTAGTAAACCACTGAATGATTAATTTCACTTTGTTTTAATTTAGAGTAGACAATAGAGTTATGCAACCAACATTAATATTTTTCTAAATAGATTGCCAAAGAATTAGAAAGAGGCTAAAAAATATTTTAGTCATAATAATAGAAAAAAGGTGTTTTTCACAATGCTATCGTATAAAAGATAACCTAAAAAAACAATCAAGGACCAGACAGATGAAAAATCGATATAGATTCAAATGATTGAAAGTATCAATCTAAGAGTTTAAAACTTTAAATACATGAATTTGATTTTAAATATTTTAAGTACTACTCTGTACTTATTTTTAAAAAAACTAATGAACTTATGTAAAGAAAAATTCATCCAAAATTAACAATAAAATAATAAAGTAACTGAAGAAATAAAAATCTATTATGTAGTATATTTTAAATCTTTGATTGATAGTTTCTAACAGTTATAGTTTTCCAAATATATCTTTTGGGTATTGAATTGAGAACACTCCAAAGAAAATAACAAACTAACATCAATTTTATAAAACAAGGTGCTACCAATTAACATATCTCAGAGAGTTCACTCATGCAGTGTGAGCAGTGAGTGAGTGGTATAAGCATCTTACAAAAAAGAAAAAAGATAAAAAGAAAAACATGCAAATAAACGGCTGCAGTAGTCAATAATATAACAGCAGCAGGAGGCATGAAACATTCAAAGCCACACCTACGCAGATGAATAAAGGAGCGGTCCTTGAAGAGAATCAGGTGACTTCAGATACTCTAGCACAGGAGTCAACTTCATTCCGATGATTTGAACTTGTGGGTTAGAGTGGCCATCCAAGAATACATTTGTAACCTGGGTACAGCCAAACAACTTCAGGACTTCAAGGGACAAGCAGCTATCTGCAATCAAACCTAGGGCTTCATCTGTGAGGGCGCGACACCAGGAGACATCTAAACTCTGCAAATTTCTACAACATTTCGCAAGTGCCATTGCAGTGTTGCATGAAACCTTTCTGACACTATTAAGGGATAGTTCTTTCAAGGAATTTCCACGAGTTTCGAGATATGCAGCAATAGCTTCATCGCTGAATGCATTACGGCAAAGGATTAGCTTGTTAACTGCTGTACAACCATTCGCAAGATAACCAACAGAGTAGTCCGTCAATTTGCTTAAGTTACTCAGATCTATTGCACTCAATCTAGGACAAAATTCAGCCACAGCTTTAACTGAACGATCAGTCAATGTTATGCAGTCCTTCAAAATAAGCTCTCTCATATTCTGACCACGTCTAGAGACAAACTCAACAACAAATTCATCACATACTGTGTTGACACCAGCAACTGACAAAACCTCTAAATGCTCAAGTTTTAACAATGATGGAAGAACCAGAGCACTGATTGCTTGGCAATCATCTAAATACAATTCCTTTAAAACTGACCCCAATGACTCGGACAAGCATTTGATTCCATCAGAAGAAAGCAAAGAGCACTGACTGAGATTTATTGACTTCAGCGAAGGTGCAGCAGAAACAAGAGCACTTAATCCAGAATCTGATAACCTACAACCACCCTTCAATGATATATTGGTTAGAGCAGGCAGACTGTTTGGCACACGAGCTAAAGTAGCTAAAAGTGCATAATCTGGCAAACAACGACCACATTGATCAAGTTGTAGCACTGTTAAGTTGCTGGTTATACACTCTCCAAAGGATTTAATGAACTCTTCCTCAGTTAACCACGAACAATCCTTCAGACGTATCTCGGTAGGGGATCCACATGTAAGAAGTCCAACAAAGTGATTATTCATTTTCCTTGAATCGCATAGAATATGGCAGAGCTTGTGTCTAATCACATCAGGAATACAATCCAGTGAAGTAATTCCATCTGCATTCTTCACCAGAATGGACATGCACAGATCTTGCAATGAGGGGGCTACCTTCCCCCTCTCATTCGGTTGTGGTTTCCTTTTTGGAGTCCACACAATGGATGCATCCATACTTTTTGAGGCAAAACCCTTCTGTTCATGCGCATTTTTTTTATTTTCACGATCTTTGATGATCTTCATAGCTGTGGAAAACGGCCCAGGCCAATCTTCTTCTAGTTCTTCCATTGGTTGACTTTCTCTAGCAGCCCCATCAGTAACAGGATTCTCCTCCTCTGAGGAGTGGAAAAGAGCAAACCGTGATGCATTTTCTCTGGCAATGTCCTTGAACTGTTGCTTTCTGTAACCCCAGTTTGTATTAGCCACATTTACAGCAGGCTCCCTGACTTCTACTTCATGTTGTGTTGCTTCAAGCTTTACAGTATTGCGGGTTTCTAATTCGGATCCAGAATCCTTGGATAAATCTGTGTCAACCATAATTCCTTTCCCTTTCTCCTCTCTACTAAGTCTCGTACTTAGATTTGCAACATCACTGCTTTCATTTTTAGATGGACCAACTTCAAATTGCGCAGAACTAGAAGGCATTACACATGGTCTCTCATCAATCTTTCCCTTACCCTTCATTTCAATCGCTAACCTCTCGCTCTTGAAACTCTCATTCCCACCACTGTTAACATCTAATACTGAATTTGTCAGCACCGCAGCCACAGAACCCCCACCATTAGGCACTCCCTCACTCTCTTGACCAGAGCACAACTTATAATCACAGTCACCAACTCCGTCGGAAACAGATAAACTCTCAACTTTGATTTCTATCTTAGCTGCCGATTGCCTCGAGTTTGAACCAAGGCACTTCTTCTGTGGGTCACCTTGTGTTTGTGCTTCCTCCTTTTCTACACTATCACCACTCACACAACTTCCTAATTCACATCCGTTACTAGCAGGAATAATATCAGCAGAAACATTACTTCCTTGGGTTAAATTTTCAGTATCTTCTCCAATTCCACTGATACCTGATTTGGCAGCCAATCTTAGACTTCGCCTTCGTACAGCACTATTGGATGCTAAACGTTTCCTGGAAGAGGAAGAGCCTGAATGAGGGGTAGTATCCACAGGTACATCGCTCTGTGTATCACAACTCTTTGTTGGGGTAGAGAGTTCCGGAGCATTGGTTTTGCGTTTCTTCGGCAAAACAGTCGATCGGGGTGTAGAAGTAGAACCCACTTCTCGAGATCGCAAAACCGTCATCTCGTGAACTGAGCGAAGTTAGCGGGCAAAAGCAAGGAGATATGAGATTTATATTCCGGTGAGATGAGAGGTAGACAATGGCAGCGGTTAACGACGGCAACGAGGTGGTAGCGCCATTATAGAACGGTTTACAGAAACGCACGTTTTAAGGGTTTGCATACAAGGATGCGTTTGTTGAAAGCTTTCAAGACACGCTTGCGCTCTGTTTGGTAACGAGCCTTTCAGCCAAAGTTTGGCTGATTAGCGAATTTAAGCACTCCTCTGGTGTCCTCTTTTTTACTTATCTGACTAGAATTTCACTCGTGCGTTGCACGGGATGAAGTTTAAATTTATTATATTATTTCTAATAATTTAAAAATGTGACGATAAAGACTCATTTTTGAAAAATGATTTTTTTTCTCAAAAAACTAATAAGTGGAGCTAAATGTCAAAATATTACTTCCTTCGTTTAATAAAATTTGACGAAATTGGCTTTTAGTGATCAATGATCTTAGATTTTGGATAATAATTTTGGGTTTATGTTCGTGAGGAATTTATAACTTTTGCATTTTTAACAAAGAACTTTTATACAATTTTCATATTTTAAATAATTTTGAATTTAAAAATAACATTGATCAAACATGGTCATCATTGATCAAGAAAAGTCAATGTGCTAACTCTAAGCATATATATTTTGTTCTTTTTATTTTATTTTTGGGTGTTTATAAAAACACATTATATTATTCTTTTGAAGGGATCCACCACTCCTTCCCAATACCCACCATGCGGTCCATGCCTATCCTAGATAAGGTTCGATTCTAATTTTGTTGAAATACTATTTCGAATGCTTGTGTAACCTACTTTTCTTGAATCACATAGTTGGGAGCCTAAGATTGAAATATTGGGCCAATTCCACATAGATTGTGATAGCTCGCTCCCAAATGATCTGCTTCTAATATATGAGATTTATACATGTAATTCACGAAGTCCACTAAATTTAAGCATTGAAACAAAAAATGAGGTATATATATACAGAATTAACAGTAGAGATGGATAGATCAACGATGAGGCTCACCTAATATAATTTGCATGAGGTGACTCCATTTTTGCTAAAAAAGTTATTCAATGGACCAAGTTTTTCACTCATTTACATCAACAATTAAAGTTACCAAAAAATACACCAACTCTAATTGAATGATTAACTAATATCAACCGTTAGATAAATATGATGGTAGGAAAGTAAACTTCTACTCCGTACTTTTTATCTTCACACAAATTGAATAACCAACCATTAGAAAAAATTATAGTCAATGCTAATGAGTAAAAACTTAGTCATTCAATTCCTAAATGGCCAAAGGTGGAGTGCATGATATGGGAATCCCATCAGGCGATTGACTCAAACAACCTTCTATTGTAACAATAGCAAGTTAATTATTTGCATGTTTTGAAGTAAGGTTTGAACTAAAATCAATTCGAAATATATCTAGCCTAGTGCCATACACGTGATATTCAAAATAGCAGTCTGCAAAACTTGAAACTGGAACTTGAAACTGCAAAATAGCAGCCTGCGATATAATAAAAGTTCAGTTCATTCACGTCCTTTGCACATGTACACAAAACATAAGCCAAGTGTGAAACATTTATTGAAAACAATTGGATTGATAATAGCTGCAATGATGAAGGATTCAGCTCCTACCATCAACATAGCAAATTAGCAAGAATATATAAGGTAAGTATATCATATCAAGTTTGCTATGCATAAGGACATCAATCACATGAGGTCTCTATTTATAACAACCTGTAAATGATGTTTGAAGTAAATATAACAATATCCATCTAACAGTAGAGTCATATAGTTGGCAACCAACGAACACCAACTAAGTGGTAAATATCC